CACTTGGTGATCTCATTAGATTCCTTGGATTTAATTGTCATCCATGTATGATACTCAAATCTGCCTATGCTACCCTAATGTCTCTGATAATCTCCAATCTAACATTGCCAACTGCATTTCAGACATCTCAAACTGGATGTCCAGTAGACATCTTAAACTCGGTGTGTCCAAAATGGAAATCATTATGTTTTCCCCTAAACCCTTCCTGTCCTTGCACGTTCCCTATTACTATAGAGGGCTACACCATCCTCCTAGTTCCTCAGGTTCACAATGAAGATGTCATTCTTGACTCCTCCCTACCTGTCATACTGTATTCAAACTGTTGCCAATACCTCTCAATTTGCAATATCTCTTGAATATACCCCTTTCTCTCCTCTGATACTGCCACTACCCTGGTGAAAACCTTCATCATTTCATACTTGGACTATTGTAATAACCTGCTGGTGGGACTGCTTGCCACAAATATCTCCTCACTCCAACCCATCCTCCATTCAGCCACTAAAATGATTTTCTTAAAGTGTGTGTCTGACCATATCACACCTCCCTCCTCCTCCCACTATGCTCTATAAACTCCAGTGGCTCCCTATCACCTCCAAGATCAGATACAGAATCCTCTCTTTGGTGTTCAAAGACTTCATAACCTAGCCTTCTCCCATCTCTATCTTCCCTTTTTTCTTACTCTTTTATTCCCATGATGTACTCTTCAATTTAGTACAGAGACTGGCACATAGTAGGTGCTTAATAAATGTTTCCTGAGGGGCAGTTAGGTGGCAGAGTGGATAGAGCACTGGCCCTGGAGTCAGAAGGACCTGAGTTCAGATCCAGCCTCAGACATTTGACACTTACTAACTGTGTGACCCTGGGCAAGTCATTCAACCCCATTGCCCAGTCAAAAAAATAAATAAATATTTTTTTAAAAAAGTAAATGAATATTTATTGATTGATTGATTGATTCAATTCATTGTCACTGAACTCCTTGCTGTTCCACAAACAAAACACTCCATTTCTCAGCTCCAGCCATGTTTTTCTACCTATCCTCCACATCTGGAATTCTCTCCCTTTTCATCTCTGCCCAAGCTTCCCTGGCTTCCTTTAAATCCCAACTAAAATCTCATTTTCTGCAGGAAACCTTTCCCAACACTCTTTAATTCTAGTGTCTTCCTTCTGTTAATTGTTTCTCATTTATCCCATATGTAGCTTGTTCATATATATTCATTTAATTTGTTATCTCCCCCCCCCCATTAAATTGTGAGCTCTTTAAAGGCTCAATCTTTTGCCCCTTCTTTTTTATCTTTAGTTTCTATTACAATTCCTGGAACTTGGGTGCTTAATAAACATTTACTAACTGACTGATGATATCCTTTGCAGGTCCATCATCCATGTCTTGTCCCACAGCTGTACTCCAGAGTTCTGTCTTGAGACCTCTTCTCTTTTCTTTCTACACTATTTTCTCTGCACTCAGGTCCCATGGATTCAACAATCTTCTTTACACAGGTGATAGACACCTCATATCTGGCCCTCATCAATTTCCTGAATTCTAGACCCACATCTTCAACCGCCTACAGGCTATTTCTAGCTAGATATCTCAGTAGGTATCTCAAACTTAACATGTTCAAAATAAAATTCATTATCTTTCCTCCTAAACTTTCTGACAAAGACACAGAATCCCAGCCTCATACCTGCTATTCTACAGCCAAACTGGCATACTTACTATTCCCTCTACCCAACATGCATTGTCTCATCTTTGTATTTTTGCACTGGATGTCCTCCATGTCTGGAATGCTCTCCCTCCTAAACTGTGACTCTTGGAACTCCTTCAAGACTCACCTCAAATGCTACCTCTTTCAAAAGGCTATTCCTGTTTCCCCAATTGTTCATTTTTCCACCCTGTCACTAAGTATTTGTCTTGTATACTTAAGCCTAGTCCTGAAGTCTGTTGGTATGGGACTCTATTCTCATTGGTGGACATCAGTGCCCTGCACCTGTGTGAGTTTTGTTCCAAGACTTGTCTCCTTATGCTCTGGAGTCCCTTTGGGCTCTAAGGCTTCCAACTTCAAGAGAGAAGATGGAAGATGCCAATCTCACATCAGGTTGCTGAAGGAAAGACTCTGGGAAGAATCCAATATGGGGAGAGCTGACAGTTTCTATCATGTCCCTTCCCCCAGCTTGCTATACTAGAGACTTTAGGAAACTCCCTCTTATCTGAGATCTAGGGCTCTCTCTCTCTGTTAGTTAAGATGAGTTACTTTGCTCACAATTGAAGAACTCCCTCATTCTGTATTGTCTGGTATGTATTCTCAAATGTATATTTTTAAAAATGTCTATTCAATTATTGAACTGAATAAGTGGGTTTCTTTGATAATTGCTAAGTGTGTTCATTGTCAAACTGGCCTTTGGTAGGAAAGGGGTTAAGACTTAGATATAAAAATTTCTATCTTGCTTCACTCATTAATGAAATGGTGGCTAGAAGTTAGACTAAACCTGGAAATCACATTACCTTGGTCAAATAATATTTAAAGGGAAAGATAGATATTATTCTAGCCTGGTAGCCCTTCTCTCCAGGGAGACAGGGGGACCAAGTTTCTGGTCCCAACCTTCTGCTTCCATTTCTAGCAGGTTGAAGTGTAAAGAAAAGAGACTAGGGATGTTATTTTGCATTACTTTGAGCCATACAACAATTACCATGATGCTACATGTAAGAGACAGTCCTTATCACATCTATATCCTGAATTTTCTGTGCCCATATTGTATCTCTCTGTAGACATAAGCTCACTGAAGGCAGGAATTGTTTCACTTTTATCTTTGCATCTCAAGTAAAGTACCCAGGTACTTTACCGTAGTAAAAACAATGTTTATTGATTAGTCAATTGATTCTTTATTCTTTTTCTTTTTTTTTCCTTTCGCATAGAGATTAAGTCTTGGAAGAGTCCTTTGGGGTCATGTATTAGAACCCCTGAATTTTACAAAAGAGAACATTGGGTCCCAGAGAAGTGAAGTGTCTTGCCCAGGCCACAAAAGGGGTAGAGCACAGACAAGAGCTTGGGGCCTCCTGTTACACCCTGTTGAGCACACTTCTTACCATTTTACTGCCTGTCTAAAGTCATTAGGGTTTTCTCTATTTTAACTTAGATGGTTTTATTAGCTTCCTTTTGAACTTAAGAAGCATAAAAGAGTACTGAAATGGGATTCAGAAGGTCTTTCTTCTAGACCTTTTAGCAACTCTTCCACTGCTTAAATATGTGAATAACAAACTCTGAGACTATTCCCTCACCTGAAAAGTGAGGAAACTGAGTTAGATGATTTTTAAGGTCCCTTCTGGTTCTCAAAGTCCTAAGTTCTTTCTTTGTTTAAACTATTTTTTCCCTCACCACTGATATTTTAAAATAAATCCACTGTATTTTACTTGGAATGAAGGATCAATTCAATGAAAATCTCTATTCTTCCTTGGTGAAATAATTTTTAATAAAGATTCCCCCTAAATTTTAACAATAAACAAATAAAATCACTTGCATTTATTATTTTAAAGCTAAATAAATACACCAAAGCTATTATCAATTAGCTTAATTAGTACAAAAAAAAATCAGATTGTCTAGGGAAACTTTATATGTCTATCAACCTATCTAATCTTTTTTAAAAAATCACTTCTTTTCTATCTTTGGTTGAGTGAGAATTCTCTGTGGCTCATATAATTTTAAAAAGTTTTTTAAAAATAAATATCAGCGAACACAAACATTTCAATAAACAAAGAAAAGAGCATTGATAGGAACTTCTATTGTACGCAGTTTTAAGTGTATATTAAATTTAACTCACAGTTAAAAAGAAAACAACTTTCCTTGTTTATCTGTGTTCCTTTCTATATTTCTGTCTGCTCTCTTCTAAATATTTTTTGAAAATTTTTATTAATGGTATTTCCTTTCTTTCTTCTTTTTCTTTTCTTCATCTTTTGTGTGTGACTATTACTAATAAATAACCAACAAATTACTCATAGCTCCTCTCCTGATAGAAGCGCTATTGTATAACAAAGGAGTATAGTCAAGCAAAACACACTGGCCATGTCAGAAAATTCATGTCTCTGCCAAGGGGTGGAAAGGATCGTTCATCATCAGTCTTTTGAAGTCCTGATTGTTCTTTGCATTGATCAGAGACCTTGAGTCTTTCAAAGATAGGAACTTCTGGGCAACCATAGCCACAAGCAGATAAATCAGGTGCATAGTTATCAGGAATTGCATAGTTCTCTTTGAAACAGTTGTACTGCAAGTCTGGGACATAGAGGTGAAAGCAATAGTGCCTTCTGTATGTAACTGGTTTAGTTGTAAAACAGATTTTTCCTGGTCTGGTTTGATTCTAGAGTTGTCCTGGTTCCCCAATAGGTCATCTTTTATATGATTGAATTAGAGTAGACTTCTGCCAATTTTATATGTATTAGATTGAAAAGATTCTTCACCCCCAACCTCACAGTCAGCAAAGTCTTGGCAGGGGGAGGAGAAGGCAAACTTTACTGGATCCTTCATTGCTTCTAAGGTAGGACTCATAGAACCATCCACAGATTATTGCCTCCTTTTGCATCATGTATCTAAGCCTTCTTGCCTGTTGAGTAGAGTCCTTTGCATTTTGTCTTATCTCATTTATAAGGATGGTTTTCAGTGACCACAGCCCAGGACTTCTGGCTCAGTTATGATGTGACGGATCACGAATTTCGAATCTTCATTTGCCTGCTGAGAATTAGAACAGAGGAGGGAGGAGCAGCCTGGACTGGAAATTCAGTTCCAGTCCCAGTTCTATCACTCATTAGCTATGTGACCCTGTGATGGTCATATTACCTCTCTGGGCTTTAGTTTTCTCGTCTGTAAGATGAAGATGTTTGCCTAGGTAATCACTAAGGTACCTTCTAGCTATAATATTCTGTGCCCTATATTCTATGCCCTCAGGTCTATATAGAAATAATAACAAGCATAAATATAAAGAGATATAACAGTTTGGGAATTCTGTTTTGAAAACAGATTATCTCAGTACAACGACATCAACCCTGGAAGAGACAAGGTCCACTCTATCAAATCCAGACGCCACCTCCCATAGTAAGTATAACCACTGCTCACTACTTGGCTCTGAATATTTAACACACTCACCAGGTCTATAAGGAAAACAGTGTGGAGGTCTGGGCAAAAAGCCCATTTGAATAGTAGTCTTCTTTGACTATTGATATTTCTTGGGTTTCAAGTTGGAGTTATAGCCAGTAATCTGATGCTCTCTATACTGATATAAACACCTCTACGTTTAAAAAAAAAAAAAGAAAAGGAAAAAAGAAGAAGCTTTTGTGTCCTGCAGCATTTTCTATCTGTCTAAGGATTTTGCTGTTAATTTCTAACTAGTCATCACAACACTTCCAAGATCTGGGTTGATGACCAGAGCCAAGAGTCGAAGCAATTTTCCCCTCATCCTCCAGCAAAAGAGGCTAGCATTAAAACTCAAGCCTATATACTCTAACCCTTCTGCTTGTGTACATTAATTGGCTCCAGGGATGTCTGTTGCTTTAGTATAAGGCACCTTTATAAAAGGTTGACATCAATTCTTTCTAAATTCCTTGACATCTCTGGATATAGGTAGAGCTTTTTATGTAAATACAAAAAATCCAAAACAACCCACCCCCCAAATTATGATTTTACATTCTTCATCATCACCATCATCTTCATCTTGCTATTGATTCTGAGTGCTCATCTGTGATTTCATTCACTCAGCGGCTCAAAGCAACAGTTCAGATTTCTCCTGAATCAGTCACATAGAATGAAAGACTTAAGCAGGAAAATGTCACAAAATAAACTTAGGGGACAATTTTTTGTTTACTTGTTTTGTTTTTGTACTTTCAGCCCACCAGTTCAATTCCAGTGTAACTACACAAAGCTATCCAGACCATAGCGAGAAGCAAACAGAACCAAGTAAGCGCAATGATCAGTCTTAGCTCATTAACTTGCTCAGAGTGGTCTATATTATAGGTCAACTGGAACAGGAAATGAAAGGAAATCATGTAGCCCTTCCTGGATGGCTGTGTGTGTGTGTGTGTGTGTGTGCGCGTGTATGAAAGGGGAGGGGGTCTTTGGATGGGTATGGGTATGGGGGATGTACTGGCACTCCTGGAACTTCTACCAAGGCCTATCCAAAATAAAAAAGGAACCAATAAAATAATAACCGATCAGTCACTATGTGCAAAAGTTGAATGCGCGCTGCCTCCTGGTGGTTTAAGTCAATTGAGCAGAGGATGAGGGCGGGTTGCAAATGCCCCAGATATAGAGCTCTGATTGCTCTACGTCTCAGAAATATAAATGGGAATTTTGAGTTTGCTGAAAGTTCCACACACCTCCCAGGGCAAATGGTGTGCTTGAGAAGCAGAAACTCAGGATTTTGCTATTATTTTCTCTAAGTTAATATAGTACAATCTAATACAATACAAAAACAAAAACTCAAATTTCTCCTGAATTAGTTGCCATAGGATGAAAAAGCTTAAGTAAGAAAATTTCATAAAACAAACTTAGGGAACAGTTTTTTGTTTGCTTGTTTTTATTTATTTGTTTATTTATTGTTGTACTTTCAGCCCACCAGTTCAATTCCAGTGTAACTACACAAAACTACCCAGACCATAGCAAGAAGGAAACAGAGCCAAGTAAGTGCAATGATCACTATTTCTAAGATCATTGACTTGCTCAGAGTGGTCTATACTCTAGGCAAACTGGAACAGGAAGTGAAAGGAAATCATGTAACCTTTCCAAGCTTCAGTGTGTGTGTGTGGCAGGTTCGAGGTGGAGTGGGGAGGGGAGACAGTATTTGGATGGGTATGGAAGTGAAGGTGTGGGGGATTTGCGGGTATCCCTGGAATTTTTGCCAAAGCCTATCCAAATAAAAGAGTAACCAATAAAATAATGACCAGTCACTATGTGCAAAGGTTGAATGTGTGCTGCCTCCTGATGGTTTAAGTCAATAACTGAGAGAGAAGTGTGGAAAGGGCAGATCATTGAGCAGAGGATGAGGGAGGATTGCAAATGCCCCACATATAGAGCTCTGATTGCTCTACCAGTCTCAGAAATATAAATGGGAATTTTGAGTTTGCTGAAAGTTCCACACCTCCCGGGGCAAATCGTGTGCTCAAGAAGCAGAAACTCAGAATTTTGCTGTGATTTTCTCTAATTTAATATAGTACAATCTAATACAATACAAAAACAAAAACTCAAATTTCTCCTGAATTAGTTGCCATAGGATGAAAAAGCTTAAGTAAGAAAATTTCATAAAACAAACTTAGGGAACAGTTTTTTGTTTGCTTGTTTTTATTTATTTGTTTATTTATTGTTGTACTTTCAGCCCACCAGTTCAATTCCAATGTAACTACACAAAACTACCCAGACCATAGCAAGAAGGAAACAGAACCAAGTAAGTGCAATGATCACTATTTCTAAGATCATTAACTTGCTCAGAGTGGTCTATACTCTAGGCAAACTGGAACAGGAAATGAAAGGAAATCATGTAACCTTTCCAGGCTGCAGTGTGTGTGTGTGGCGGGTTCGAGGTGGAGTGGGGAGGGGAGACAGTAATGGATGGGTATGGAAGTGAAGGTGTGGGGGATTTGTGGGTACCCCTGGAATATTTACCAAGGCCTATCCAAATAAAAGAGTAACCAATAAAATAATGACCAGTCACTATGTGCAAAGGTTGAATGTGTGCTGCCTCCTGATGGTTTAAGTCAATAACTGAGAGAGAAGTGTGGAAAGGGCAGATCATTGAGCAGAGGATAAGAGAGGGCTGCAAATGCTCCCAAATACAGAGATCTGATTGCTCTACCAGTCTCAGAAATATAAATGGGAATTTTGAGTTTGCTGAAAGTTCCACACACCTCCCAGGGCAAGTGGTGTGCTTGAGAAGCAGAAACTCAGGATTTTGCTGTTATTTTCTCTAAGTTAATATAGTACAAATACAATCTAATACAGTACAAAAGCAACAACTCAAATTTCTCCTGAATTAGTTGCCATAGGATGAAAAAGCTTAAGTAAGAAAATTTCACAAAATAAACTTAGGGAACAGTTTTTTGTTTGCTTGTTTTTATTTATTTATTTATTTATTTTTTGGTACTTTCAGCCCACCAGTTCAATTCCAGTGTAACTACACAAAACTACCCAGACCATAACAAGAAGGAAACAGAACCAAGTAAGTGCAATGATCACTATTTCTAAGATCATTGACTTGCTCAGAGTGGTCTATACTCTAGGCAAACTGGAACAGGAAATGAAAGGAAATCATGTAACGTTTCCAGGCTGCAATGTGTGTGTGTGTGTGTGTGTGTGTGTGGCGGAGTCGAGGTGGAGTGGGGAGGGGAGACAGTAATGGATGGGTATGGAAGTGAGGGTGTGGGGGATTTGCGGGTACCCCTCGAATTTTTACCAAGGCCTGTCCAAATAAAAGAGTAACCAATAAAATAATGACCAGTCACTATGTGCAAAGGTTGAATGTGCACTGCCTCCTGATGGTTTAAGTGAATAACTGAGAGGGAAGTGTGGAAAGGGCAGATCATTGAGCAGAGGATAAGAGAGGGTTGCAAATGCCCCCAAATACAGAGATCTGATTGCTCTACCAGTCTCAGAAATATAAATGGGAATTTTGAGTTTGCTGAAAGTTCCACACACCTCCCAGGGCAAGTGGTGTGCTTGAGAAGCAGAAACTCAGGATTTTGCTGTTATTTTCTCTAATTTAATATAGTACAAATACAATCTAATACAGTACAAAAGCAACAACTCAAATTTCTCCTGAATCAGTTGCCATAGGATGAAAGGCTTAAGTAAGAAAACTTCATAAAATAAATTTAGGGAACAGTTTTTTTGTTTGCTTGTTTGTTTTTTTGTACTTTCAGACCACCAGTTCAATTCCAACATAACTACACAAAACTATCCAGACCATAGCAAGAAGGAAATAGAACCAAGTAAGTATAATGACCAGTCTTTCTAAGCTCCTTAACTTGCTCACAGTGTTCTACACTCTAGGCTAACTGGAGCCAGAAATGAAAGGAAATCACGTAACACCTACTGAATTCCACCTCACAAATGTAGTAATTGTGTGACCTTGGGCAAGTCTCTTAGCCTTCTAATCCTCTATTTCCTCATCTATAAAAATGAGGGGTGGGCTTGATGACCTCTGAGGTCCCTTCCAATTCCAAATCTATGACCCTAGATGTTCCCCTGATTGAATCTGTGAAAAATAAAAGAGCAGGATGGAGGAGGAACTCACCTCAGTTGGATATCTGAATTAACTTATTATTCTTACCAACTACAATAGGCGTAAAGTTCTATTGTTTCTACCTGGTACACTCTTTAAATTCAATGCCCTGGACAAAGCCTCTTCCTCATCACCTTTCTCAGAACACCAGCCAGGTTTTTTTTTTTTTTTTACCATCAATGGCCCTGGCAAAATGGAGGAACCACATGACCAGCTATGCCCAGACCAGCTATTTCCTTGCTCTAATAGCCTTTGCAAAATCTGAAACTCTGTGATTCTGTGATTCTTCCCTGCCCTAGAAGCAGTTGAGATTCCAGTCTAAAATGCTTTGAAAATCACTATGGTCACTTTTGGCATTTTCAAAATATTCTAGATGGAAAAAGGAAAAAGCTATAAACTCTTCCCTTTTTGCCTCTTCTCCCACCTGAAAACTGATTTAGTGGCATGGTAAGTAGAAAGAGTGGTGGATTTGGACAGAGGAGATCAAGGTGACAGTCTTAGATCTTTCACTTGTTAACTGTGTGACGTAGGACCAATCCCTTCACCTCTATGACCTTCACTTTCTTCATGTGTAAAATAACATTTGCACTGGCCATCTGTGAGGCAAGCATCCTATAATCTGTAAACTGCTACATAAATGTGAGTGATTACTATAAGCTACTATTAATTTGAGCTCAGAAAAATCAATCTCATACTTGTAAATAAATCCATTGCTGCAATGATAGCTTCCACTAAGTGACTTTAGAGACAAATAAGTTTCGTTGGCAATGCAGACAATATTCCCAGGGCTTTACTAGGCAAGAATAGGAGTCTCCAGCTTTCTAACTCTTGGCCTTTTTTTTTTTTCCCTGACAAGCTTTGAGGAAAAATTCCCTGCTGCAAGCTGAGCTATTTGTTAACAGTTCACAAAAACAAATTAGGATCCAACAAGCTAATATTGATTGCTCCCTCCCTCTCAAACTGTTTTTGAAACATGTTCTACTTGTTAGATAGTACTGTAATGTGGCATCTGATATTAGATGACACATTTGGCAAGATTCATGACAGGCATTGGTAATTGGATTTTTTTCCCTCCTAGTATGTTTATTTCGATAGGTTTTTGAAATGTGAAGCAGCAGGAAAAAGAATAAGAACAAATAGATTTCTAGTGAAACAAACTCAATAATAATGCTTAAGGAACATTTTTTTATGTGCTAACCAGTGTGCTGCATGTAACATTTAGTATTCTTGCGTATTAATAATTCATATTTAAAGCACTTTAAGGCATTCAAACCATTTTCCTCACAATCACTCTATGAAGAAGGTAATATAAGTATTATTATCCACATTTTACAAATGAAAAAAACTATGGCAGAGAGAATTTAAGTGCCTTGCCCATGGTCACATGGTTAATAAATGACTGATGCAGGAATAGAAGTCATATCACCTGGTTTAAAGCTAGGGCAATAGTGAAGGAGACTTTGCTGCACTCCTGGAAAACCGTCCTAAAGGTGCTCATGTTGGTGATCATGTCTAGGCAATTCACCTTGAGTCCATTTTCTCATATGTGAAAAATAAAAGATCTGCCTGGCCCAGCATGGAGAGAGTTGGCCTTGACACAGAAAGAGACATGGCTTTAAGTCTTGCCCTGACACATATTGACTGGGTGACTGATAGCATGTCATGGAACCTCTGTGTTTGAGGTAACTCTCTAAGACTGGTAAGTGGCAAAATATGTTCTGATCTGCATTGGCAGAAGAAGGTCCCCATCTGGAGCTCTCTACACCCATGAAACCATAGGTCTGCTTAAAAAATAAAATAAAATAAAATCAAGGTAAAAGTAATGTTAAACAGAAGTCACAACTCCACAAGATATGGTAGTAACTTGATTTATTACAAGAGAAAGGCACATGCATGTGCCTCATACCAAGCAGTCTACCCCACAGATAATGCCTTGGATATTTATGGGGTAACAAAAAGGGGAGGTCACATGGGAGGAATAGAGGATAATCCTCTCCCAAATGGAAAAGGCATGGAAAAAGAAGTGAGCAGTGGGGGAGGGGGAGCAAGAGGAAGCAGGAGGGCTCAGGAACTTAGGACCATGGAGGGAAGATGTTCTGCTTATCTGAAAGGGTTCCAGATGCACAAACAGTCTATCAGTCTGAGTTAGGCTGGCTGGAGTCAGGATTGCAGCTGATTCGACTTCAAGGGCATTGAGAGTCTAATAGAATTCAGTTGCAAATGATTACTGTTAAGTTAGTTCAGGGCGGGGCTTCATCTCAGGAGGCAATTCAACAAAACAAGTTCAGGAGGCCTCTTCACAGTAAAAAATTCTGAGTCTTATCCCTTTCTGTCCTAAGCCCTAGAGCACATATTTTCTCCAACAGATTACTCATCAAGTTTTTTTTTCCTCTCCTTGTTGGTTCCATCCTGCCTTCCTCCTTTGTGTAAAATAAAATGAATCTTCTCCTCAATAATCTTTGTCTTCTGAGGAGGCATGTAGCTCTCATCAGTAGCCCAGATTCCAGCTCTGGATTCAGGCTGAGCTCAGTCCTGGTTAGGAACTCTCCAAGCAGGTCTCCACTTCTCCTGAAATCTCTAACTCTCTTAGCTAACATCAGTTTCACACTTCAAAGAAATATTGGGTGCCTGTAAGATGTAAAGATTTTGCTAGGTGCTAGGAATAAGAAGATGAAGGACACAGGTTTTACTCTCAAGAAGCTTATGTCTAATTAATATGGAACAGGGTGAAGGCGAAGACATGTAAAAGAATACTTTAATACAAATACAACAAATTAATATGAGTGATATTGGGCAAGTCTCTTAACTTAGTTCAACCTCAATTTCATTGTCTACAAATGCTTTAAAGGGTTATTATGAAAATCAAATGGGATAATATAGGTGAAGTTCTTTGCAAACCTTAAAGTGGTGTATGAATGTTAACTAACATTCACTATGGTCATATTACAAGGGGGGAATATGGTAAGTGTGAAACAGAGTAATCCGAGGAATACCACTGTTCCTTTAGGGGAAGAGAGAGAGAGAGGTCAAGAAAGACTTCAAGAAGAGGAGAAATCAGAGTTGAAAACTGGAGGAGGAAGGGACTTCAAAAAACTAAAATTGGATTGAGTGGGTAAAAGGGAGACAGGTGGCACAGTGGATAATGTATTATAGCCTTAGAGAATTAACTGGGGTATTGAAAGGTGCCTAAGACCCTTGCCTAGGGTCACACAGACAGTGAAAGATAGAAGGCTATTGATCCCCTGGAGGGTCCATCCATATCTCCACAGTATAGTCATTAATCTAAACCCTTGGATCACTGGGAGAAGGCTGGGGAAGGGGGAGTCAGTGGAAGTGAGAAGCAGCGGTGACAAAAGGTAGACTCCAAAAGAGGGGCATTACAGCATTAAGATGCTCTGGTAGTAATCTAGATCTGAGTGAGAGGATTAGGATGCTAATGTAGTGCAAATGAGAAAAGGGCAACAAAGCAAAGGAATCCACCATGGGAGGAAATGCTTCCTTAGAGATCAGTGCCTAGGACCAAAGCCCCAGATGCTTCATCCTGGGGGCTGCTCAAAGACGAATGGAATTTATTTCTGAAATCCAATTCTATAAGTTCTTTTTCTTGATTTTTTTTCAACTATTTCTATGGGGGCAGCTAGGTGGCACAGTAGATAGAGCACCTGCCCTGGAGTCAGGAGGACCTGAGTTCAAATGTGACCTCAGATACTTGACACTTACTAGCTGTGTGACCCTGGGCGAGCCACTTAACCCCAACTGCCTAAGCAGAGAGAGAGAGAGAGAGAGAGAGAGAGAGAGAGAGAGAGAGAGAGAAAATCAAATGATTGTATTACTTTTACTTCACTTTACATCTATTTAACAAATATAGCTACTCAGGCCTCAATAAGATATCTACCATCTCAATCTGAAAAATGCAATTCTCCCACAAATCCAGCTTGTATAAAAGCTGGATATTGCCCATAAATCATGTTATTTTTTCATACATACATATTACAAGGTTATCACCAGTCATCTTAACCTTTGTCTTTCCACTGGACTTTGATGACTCTAGAGGGGAGAGTGAGGCTGAAGACTGCGCAGCTCTGCCCTGCTCATGTCCAATTCATGTGCCAGTCATCTCCCTTGGATGTCATTGGTCCTCATCAACAACAAAGGCACAGGGGCAGCTAGATGGCGCAGTGGATAGAGCACAGACCCTGGAGTCAGAAGGACCTGAGTTGTGACCCTGGGCAAGTTACTTAACCCCAACTGCCTCACCATAAAAAAAACAACAACAACAACAAAGGAACAACGATTATATACATATATAAACACATATTTATTCTTTAATGAAATTACAATCTCAGAGATACAGATACTACCTATGACAGTAACAGTTCATAAATTATACAGGCTTTCTTATTCTATATAACTCTTATCCACCTTTTCCTAAAAGTCCTCCGTAGAGGAGATAAATGAAGCCCTGGACACCTTCCTATGGGTTTTGTAACATCTTGTGGGTACGTGCTTATCACCTGAATTTTTCATCCATATTCCTTCCTCAACTCCTTTTCTTTGCACACATTTCTTTGATGTTATCTTTTATGCCACATCATATTGCCATCAGTAATATATTACAGATTTCTTACACCCATGATAAAGTTCTTGATTATCCTTTAGGTAACTTGAAATTTTGATTCCTTCAAGACCCTCCTATTCCATGAATCTTAGCCAAATATTACTGCCAGAATATTGGTATAAAAAAATATAATGTGTGCATGCCAAGTCACAGTTTGAGTTTTTTTTAAAGTACTACATAATTTCTCAAATGCCCATTCTCTTTCTCCTATTAAATTCTGAGTCTAAATCATTATCCATCTGCAGTATCTGTCAAGGAAATATATATTGATTGGCAAATTCAGTGAATTACGCATCCAATTACTTGTTAGAATCTAGGCAAAATACCTTTCTATTCAATTTGTTTTTGTTTTGATTTTGTAAAAGGATTGTTAGGCTCTTCTCTTGTGAGTATTTGCCAATCTCATGAGTAGGTCCTACAGTATTCTGAGACTTTCAATTATCAACCTAATGATATTTACAAATAGGATTATCTGGGGTTATGTTATCATCTATAGCCTGACTCTCTTCTATTTGAAGTCTGAGAAGGACAGTCCACAATAGCGGTTAAATTTATGTCTCTGGTTATAACTTCGTTATAACTCTGAGATATGTATATATATGTACATGTATGTATATGTACATACACATATACATATATATGTATACATATATATGTTATATATAACAGAGTTATAACTCTGGTTAAGCTTATATCTCCCTAGGTTTTTTTTTTAAATACATCACTTGGTGTTGATAATTAAAAGATCATTGAACAATATTCTTCTTATAATTATCTCTACAAAAGAATCTTTTAGAATCTTAACATGAGTCTAGGAAATACCTTTTTGGAAGAGAATCTTCAAGGCTACATGTGTTAATACATGAAATATATGTACATATATTTTACATCCAAATACATATATGTATTCGTCTACAATGACAAAAGGCACACACAATGTAAGATTCTTTAGGGAAGAAGCCATTTTTCCCATTTGTGCCTCTTCCACATGGGTCCCCTTTAGTCAAGGCTATTGTAGTTCAAAGTATTCTGTAGGCCTGTGAACACTCAAAAACGAAAGCTCAAGATCTCCTAGTGATGTCTTTACTTTTGCTCATCAGATGGAGGGCACCTCAACTCTCTGGTCATCAAAAGCAGAAAAAAAGACCAGAGGATAATTAATTCAAAACAATGTCATTTTAGCAATTTTTTTAAAGTAACAATAAAATATTCCTCCCCTGAGACATATTCTCTCACAAATGCACATGTGATTAATGGGAAGATAGTGCTTTGGAAGAGGAAAAGACTAAGTAAACACATGTGACCAGGGCACACGCATGGTCTCATGTGCCATGAAGTTATCTGCCAGAGTGTAATCTTTCCTAAACATGTGAGAATAATGTGTAATCTCTGGTGGGCTGGTCTAGAGCATTTGAGGGTCCTCTGCTAGAGCCGAGATAGAAGTCTATGGGGCTTCTTTCTGCTTCCAGCTTCTGGATTATGATGGAGCACCTATTTGGGGTGCTATCATTTCCCCATCAGCATGAGAGTGGGCTTTTTCATTTCCTTTTTTTTTACCTTAAAGACCAGATGTTTTTAATTGTTACATCTCCTTTAGAAAGATAGAAACTTTACACACCTTATCATTATGTTAGGGAAAATCCTCAGTGACATTCCCTCCCTTGAAGACAGATAGATAATAGATATATGATTAATAATGTATAGATAAATATAGAAATAGATAGATAATAAGCATTTACAAAGTGCCTACTATGTGCTAAGGCACTGCGCTAAGCCCTTTACAAATATTATCTCCTTTGATCCTTACAACACTCCTGAAAGGTTGGTGCTATTAAAATGGATTTGAACTCAAATCTTCCCCATTTCAAATCCAGGGCTCTATCCAGTGTACCACCTACCTGTCCCTTATGCAGGTGCAGGTAGGGTTAAGGTGGGGGTGGTGTCTACCAGTGGATTGAATATTTTCTCTTCCAAAAGAGACTCCAGGCCACAGATGCTAAGCTTTTTAGGATGTAAATGTTACCTCCTCCTGTAGAATGTGCATTCCTCAAGGACATGGACTGTTTTGATTTTGTTTTTGTATCCTTGGTGCTTAACAGTGCTTGGTGCAGTGTAGATGCTTAATGCATGCTTATTAATTTGGAATACAAAACATCCTCATTTAACCACTAACCTTAAGCTTATCTATTTTATTTTTACCTCAGCTTCCTGGTTACTGAGGGCAGTGTCTTTATTAGAGGCCTCACACTCTGACTTAAGATTAGAAATTCCTTGTGACTCCCTGATTAATTTCAGATTGTTAAATTGCATTGCATCAACATCTATTTAGAACCTTCTCTTCTGGAAAACTGTCAAGAGCTTTCTGGATTGAAGACCTCCTCAGTTTCTCAAACCCAATAGTTTTTTTTTTTTTGTCTCCCATGCAAATGAATGGAAAGGGGAATAGGAAAGGCAAAGAAAGAAAGAGAAAACTAAGATCACTGTCTTTCAATATATATCTATATATATATATGACTAGGAATCAACTGCTTATTATTTATATCCTTAGCACGCTAACAAGCACAGTGCTTTGTACATAATAAGTACTTAATAAATATTTATTTTTAATATGTAGATAGTAGACACAGACTGATAGACAGACAGGAAGACAAATAGACACAGACAGACAGACAGACAGACAGACAGATAGATACATAGATACATAGGTACATAGATACATAGATAGATAGATAGATAGATAGATAGACACAGATAAATAGATAGATGTGATTTTAAAGAACTCTCATTTTCAGAGTAATTTCTATTTCTAAAATACTACAGTATCTTTCTTGCCAAATGTGGGCAGTAAGCACAATGAGCTTTTAGATGTTGAAAGATGAGTCTAAAAGCCATATGCTCTACTGAGTTTCATGATATCCTGTCAGGGGAGGGTTTATTACTAATATCTCTAAAAGTTTTACCCAACAGCTAACACCTTGACTGGGGACCATGCTTTAACAATTGATCTTGAATGTCTTTTCTAGCTCCAATGGTCTGTGATTCCATGACTATACAAACGAAGTTCTAGTTAGCAGAGTAGAATTTACAGAAGTGAAATCAGTGGTGTGAGTAGCTCCTTAACTAAGCATATATGTCTCCTAAAGAAAAGCAATCATTTCCCCACCCCACCCCCTGCTTTAGTGAATGATAATTTTCTTTTAGTGGAAGAGTACTGACTCTGGAGGCAAAGAGTCTTAGTTCAAATCCTGCCTCTGACAGTTACAAACTGTACAACCCTATCCTAACCTAACCTCCTAATCTAACCTCACTGAGCCTTGATTTCCTCATCTGTAAAATGGAAGGGCTAGAAGTTGGTCTAGATGTCCTCTGAGGTCCCTTACAGCTCAAAATTTATGATTCTATGTTCTTAATCATACCCTGTTATTACATTCACCATACCAGCTTCAATTTTCATTCTGTCTTTTTATGTAAGCTCACATTTTTGAACTGACAGAAGGAATCCCTCTCTATATTTTTGACTTCCAGTTCTATAGCTCTCCCTGCTGTTCCCAGATTTTAGATGACTTTTTAAAAGTCCTTTCCATTGAACCCTTCTGGATCACCCATTCATTCATGCAGCAAATATCTGTTAAACATTTACTATGTCCTAGGTGCTGGTAGAGATGCAAAGTTTGAGCAACAAACATGTTAGAATATGCAGAAATCAAATTAGTAGTATGAGCAACTCATCAAACAAATATAAATGGGCAACAATCTAGTGAAGTAGGTAGTACAACTGTTATTATCCCCATTTTATGGATGAAAAAGTGGAACATCAAAGGAATTAAGTGACCTGACTAAGATAACACGGCAAATGTGTCAATGTCAGAATTTGAAACTAGGGCTCTTGACTCCAAGTTCAGTGGTTTCTCTACACTCTCAAAATGTCTCACTTAATACTCTTCCTGGTCAGAAAATAAATTTAGCCAAATTTTCTTAAGAAAACTTAATTAAGAAACTTCTTTCTTAGAAAAGAAAAATAAATAGACTGAGAATCTTGAACTGTTTTTCCTTTAACAGATCTGTGGGTGTTCACTTTGACCTACAACTCAACCCCTTCAGAAGCAGACACAATATTGAATGGTAAGTACTCTACAAGGATTTGGGGGTATGGTCCATTCAATGTAAGTATAGTTGAAAGTGTGGTGACATGATAAGAAGCAATGCACACATAATCACTTGAATATATTTTTGGTGGCGGTAGTCGCAGTGAAGATGGTGCTTATGAATGAATATTAAGAAGGAAAAAAACCAGAATACTCCTCAACTACTGATAGTGAAGAGTCAGAATCATCCTAAACCTTGAGTTTCTCTAGGACTTTTTCCAAAAAGGTTAAATAATATTTACTTCTCTCCCCCCCTGTAATGTGTATGGAAAACAAATTTCAACTCTTCAAAAGAAGGAAGTCAAAAAGACTTTGTTTACTTTGGTGCTCTCTGTGTGGTTTGGAAAAGCCCAATATTTCAATGAGCTTAACCTTCTCTTAAACCTGACCTCTCTTTTGTTTGAATGATGATATAGAAGCTTCTATCAGGCATTCCTAAGGGCTAGTGCTCCCGTAAGAATCCCTTAGAGTTGTTAAAATTCTGGTGGAGATTCTTTAGGTACAATGTCTCTTTTGCTTTGAATCTTCCTTTTTCCCCCTTTGGAATTAAGGGAGATTGTCGGTCTTAGACAAAAACACCAGTCAGCTCGCATTTTCCATTCTGCACAGCTGTTGGCATAGTTCATAGGTTATCTTATAACAAAGAATACATACAGTAGTTCTAGAATGGGCAGGCTAAAAAGACAGAGAGAGAGAGAGAGAGAGAGAGAGAGAGAGAACCTGGCTCTAATTCTGATTTTATAACTTGATCATGTTACAGTTGAGATTGTCAATCACATTCTGTGGTCTCAGAGGTTAATAAAGAACATCACACATTACTCCCTTCAGCACAACCAGTGAATTACCTGTAGGGACCACAACTGCCAATCTATTTCCTGAAAATTATTAGTCCCATGTCAGTAGTAGGTCTCATACCATATATTCTCCTGCGTTTGTGTTTAAATATTACGGTTTTTGTTTTTTGTTTTGTTTTTAAGTCATATTATCCGACTAGGGTAACATAAGTGTTGAATTAAAAATTGTTTTTACAAGAGAGACATAGCCTTATGGGTTCTCTGTTGGGAAACAAAGACCCTCATTATACGAGCAGTCAGAAACTGACGGTGATTAACCATTTCATTTCTACACAGGAGTATCTGTATGGCTTCCCTTTTTTCAGAGTATTCATCTTTAGCTACTAATCATCAGTTAGGTTTTTAAGGAGGGAAATTAGCTACTTTAATTTCAAAAGATTTAGAAGGGATCTTAAAAATCTCCTACTCCAACAGATTCATATATTACAAATGAGAAGACATGAGCCCAGAAAGAAATCACTTGCCCAGGCAGAAGGTTGCACAGCCAGATTTGAAACTTAATCCTTCTGACTCCAAGTCCAGAACTCTTTCCACTGCCTCTGCCTTATTACCATATCATTTAATTCATTATGAAGGCCTAAGGGACCCCAACAATGGATGTACTGCTAAGACCCAGAGAAGCAGGTTGCTGGCTGAGTGGGAAATACGTTTACCCAAGTTCAAGACTCAATTCAATAAACATTTTATTAGAAATGATGAGCTTGTTGACCTTACAAAAACTTGGATAGACTTGCATGAAATAATGAAGAGCAAAATGAGCAGAAGCAAGAGAACATTGTATTCCGTCCTCAGACACTTAACACTTACTAGCTGTGTGACCATGGGCAAGTCACTTAACCCCATTACCTAGCCCAAAAAAACAAAACAAAACAAAACAAAACAAAAAAGAGAACATTGTATATATTAAAAGAAATATTGTTTTAAGAATAACTTTGAGCAAATAAATCATTTTGAGTATTATGAATACCCAAATTAACTACAAAGGACATATGAAGGAAGATGCTATCTGCATCCAGAGAAAGAACAGATAAATAGAAGTATTTATAGAATGGTTTTATACACACACACACACACACACACACACACACACACACACACATAATTGTGTCTAATGGTAATCATCTCTAGATTGGGGGAGGGGAGAATAAAAAAAAGAAATGTATATAACTTTATTACATATATGAAAGGAATAGCAAGTTGTACATAACAGATTTGCAGCTTCATGTTCAATCACATTTTTTAGTATACTATGTTATGGAAATGCTTGTTTTATTCCATAAATTAAAAATAAAATAACTAAAAATTTTTAAAAGTTCTTGCTATGGGTAAGACACTTTGCTAGGCAGTAGAAATACAGAGACAGAAATGAAACAGTCCCTTCTCTCAAAAAATCTATATTCTACTGGGGTGGTGGAGAGATGATATTTATACAGAGAAGTAAATACAAAGTAAAATAAAGTTATTTCAAAAGCAGGAGAGTACTTATAACTTGAGGAGGAGAGAGAAGATCACAAAACATCTCTTGTAGGAAGTGGCTTCTCAGCTGTGATTTCAATACATCAACAAGAATTATATTAAATATCTATTATGCGTCAGGCACTATGCTAGGCACTAGACATAAAAAGGCCAGAAAAAAAATAAATCCCTGCCTTTTTAAGAGCTTATGGAGATCATAGATTTAAGAGCAGGAAGAGAACTTAGAAACCGGAGTCCAACCCCTTCATTTTACTGAGGTTAAGTGACTTGCCCAGAGTTATCCAACTGGTAAGTGTCTGAAATGGGATTCAAACTCCAAGAGTTGCACTCTAGCCACTATACCATGTTGTCACTCATGTTATCAAGAAAGACATGTCCAAATATGATTACGTACAAAATCTATTCAAAATATATAGAGGGCATTTTGGGTGGGAGAGGTTTTAGCTGCTAGAGGAATCAGGAATCTCACACAAAAGATAATGCTTAAGCTTGAAAGAAAACAGGTATACTAAGACACAGACATGAGAGAGAATACATTCTAGGCATGAGGACTGACCTATGCAAAACACAGAGATGGGAGATGAAATGTCATGTGTGAAGAAGCTGCCACTACTTTGATTAGGCCATAGAGTACGTGAGGGGGAATGATGCATAATAAGCTTGGGAAGATGGGTTGGAGCCTGGTTGTCAAGGTCTTTAAATGACAAATAGAGGAGTTTGTGCTTGCTCCTGGAGGTCACATGGAACTATTGAAATTTCTTGAGCAGAGGACTGACATGGTCAAATCTGGGCTTTAAGAACATCACTTTGGCAGCTGTGTGGAAGATGGATTGAAGAGGGAAGAACAAAGTCAAAGCAAGACAATAAACATTTATTAAGTGTTTACTGTATGCAAAGACTGTACTAAATGCTAGGGATACAAATACAAGTAAACAGAAAGATGTTCTCTGCCTTCTAGGAACTTATTTCTAATGAGGGAAGTAGTATACAAAATGGAGTTGAAAGGGGACAGGGAATGAAGGTACTCACCAAGGGCCTGGTATTGAAGTCCTGAAACCCAGCTGGGAGGAGAATGAAAGTTGGAAACTTTGGGCCCCTCCTCAAAATGGAGGCAACTTACTGATAAAAGAGCCTAGGGAAATGATTGCAATAGTCTTGGCAAGAGGTAATGAGGGCCTTTAAAGGAAGCCAGGTGTAAGAAAGGCATGCATTCTAGACATGAGGGACCACCTATTCAAAGGTCTGGAGGCAGAAGATGTATTGTACTGTACTATACTATACTATACTTACCATACCATACCATATTATGCCATACCATGCCATGTCATACCATACCATGCTATACTAAACCATATTAAACCATACTATACTATACTATACTATACTATACTATACTATACTATACTATACTATACTATACTATACTATACTATACTATACTATACTATACTATACTATACTATATTATACCATACCATACTATCTTATACTATATAATACTATGCTATACTGTACTATACTGTACCATATCACACCATACCATACTATACTATACTGTACTATACTGTATTATACCGTACCATGTCACAGCATACCAAACCATACTATTCTATACTATGCTATGCTATGCTATACTATAATGTGATATAATAAATACAGAAACAGATGACAAGCCAATTTGACTAGAATGAAGAGCGTGGGAAGGGTAGTAATTGAAAGGTAAGTGGAAGCCAGATTGGGAGGGGGGGGCAGGGATTTAAATGTCAAATAGAGAAGTTTGTAATTTTTCTTAGTGTAAATAGGATGTTAATTATTAATAATCTGAAGTAAGAGAATGTTTTGAAAATATGAGTTTGGCAGCTTGGAGAGGAGAAAGACTGATGGCAAAAAGACCTTTTAGGAAGCTATTGCACTAATATAGACAAAAAACAATGAAGTCATGAGCTGTAGGGTAAAGTCTGTGAGACTAGAGAGAAAAGGATAAGCACAACACACATTGTGAAGGGAAGACCAACAAGGCTTGCCAACTTATTTGATATGAGATCTGAGGGCGAGAGAAGCAAAGATAATTCCAAAGCTGAGAATAGGGCAAAGTTAAAATACTTCCTCTTCATTAACTTCTGACTGGGCTATTTAAACTCTCCAGTAAATTATGTTCACTGTGGTATACTATGGTGGTGGACTTTAGAGTCTGAGAAGAACCAGTGTTCTTCCAGTAGTGGTGATGATTAGCTTGTCTTTGTCTCCTTACTGATGTGTCCAACTCTTCATGACCCTATTTGGAGTTTTCTTGGCAAAGATACTGAAGTAGTTTGCCATTTCCTTCTCCAGCTCATTTTATAGATAAGGAAACTGAAGCAAAGAGCCCTAAGTGACTTGCCCAGGGTCACATAGCTAGTAAAAGAGTCTAAGACCAGATTTAAACTCATGAGGAGGAATTTTCCTGTCTCCCAGTCTAGCACTCTACCACTGTACCACCTTGCTTTCAGTAATAACAACTGACAAGTGGTCCGTGGACTGGAGAGAGGATTTGAGGATCGATTTTTTTTTAATTCTGTGTATTCAGTATGTAATTATTTAACCTTTATTCTATGTATTGTACCTTGATAAAACACTGTGGGGGTTATGAAAGAAATATAAAGTCCTATTCTGTGCCTTCCTAGAACTTATAATCTAGCAAAAATAACTAAAGAAAATTCAGACTCTTATTTATTTTTCCTTTTTGCTCCAATTATATTATTGAATCAGTTACATAATACAAATTAACTGGAAATTACAAACATTGATCATCTTCTCCAATGCCCAGCTAGTAAGTGGCAATGTGATCTTGGGTGAATCCTTCACCTTTCAGGCTCTCAATTACCTCATGTCTAAAATGATGGAGCTAGACTAGATGGTATCTAATGCCCCTTATAGCTCTAAAAAGTCTCTTATTCTAAACAATCCCCTTTACTTTATGCTATATACACTCATATTTCCATAGATAGATAGTTTTCTCTCCTGGGTCTTTAGTCTTATGGAAGAAAAATCATAATGTGACAATTACACTGCCCTCTATTACTACATCATTTACTTGAAGTTTCTTTTTTCAAATTTAGTTGGAAGTCTAGGTTTAAAATAAACAATTGTTTTAAAAATATATCCAAAGATAGATGGATAAATGAAACCCACAGATAATCCAAAGACCTCCTCTTTCTCATCTGCCAGATGCTGTGCTAGCCAGGGGAATATGTTGATTCCCAGGTCACAGCAAGAAGCAAAAAATAATTGCTTCAATTTTTTTTTGAACCTTTCCTTCCTCCTTTGTGAAATCAGCTAAAGGTTGGGCAGAAGGAGTGGGTCTCTTGGCCCCTCAGAATTCAGAAGTTTTTCATTTGAGTTTTGTGAAATTTTTATGTATTTCAATAACTGCATTTCAATATACATAATTGGTTTCCTTTGTAATGCTACATTTTTTTTGTATTTAAATATTTATACTGGGAAGGGATCCTTAAGTTTACACAAACTATCAAAGACGTCTAGGACACACACAAAAAAAGGTTAAGAATCCCTGGTTTAGATTATTTTAGTTCGGGTAATGAGACCCTGGATAACTAAGAAATGACTGTGAAGAAGATCTTAGCTATAACAGTAGTTTGGATCTCAGGAGATCTTTTACTTGTAGTTGATGGGATCTCTATTGGACTTTTCAAGTTCTCGAACCACTGGTGACCTTTCTCCCATTTATGACAATAGAAGATATTCAGGACATCCTGAAAGATCAGGAACTCTTTACTAGTGGTCATATTTGTCAGAGCTGGGTCATTAATTTTGGTCACGTTTCATCCTTAATTACGGCATCCTTAGACAGGATCTTTAAAGGTCCTCCAATCTCAGTCTCCAAATAACTTTCCGCCTTGATTTCACATTTCTCTTTCAAGTCTTCTGTCTGAAGGCTGAATTATACTACTCACTCTTCTCCGAGCCATTTTATCCTCTTCCATCCACTTTACTTGACTACACATTTTATTGTTCCCAGACTGCCCTGCTCCCACCCCTGATTTTTGAAATCCTCCTATCTTTCAAGACCCAGCTCAAATACCACTCTTCACTGAAATCTCCCTATCTTCCATGAAATTGTCCTATTTAGAAGTGATCTATCATGTCTCAGAACCCAAAGCCCCATTCCTATTTACATATCATTCAAATTAATTTGGTAAATATTTATTGAGAGCTTACTATGTAATAGATATTAGGTAAAATATAGGGAATCAAAAACAAATATTGTCTGCCTTCAAGCAGTTTACATTGTACTGGAGGTGGGGCAGTAGAAATGCAGCATATATACATAAGTGGTTAAGTAAAAGAAGTCACAAAGCTATTGAAAGTAATTTCTTTTTAAAATAATCTAATTTCATTAATGCTTCATTTTTATACTACCTTGATTTCCAAGTATATATTATTTTATTTTATATGTATCTAAGTGTGTATATATATATACACACACATTTATATATTTGAGTACAATATTTCATATATATTTTCAAGTATATATTTCACATATATCATATACTTATATATAATGTATTATATATACACATGCAACACATATATCTTTGTTATAAGGGATAGTTTGCTGTATAGGGGGGGTCCTTACCCACTTGGATAAGTGTGGGTGGTATGTATATATATAATATGTATATAAAATATGAACTCAGTATATATATGTATATGTGCATACATGTATATATACATATATTCAATTGTATATATGCTTGTATATACACATGCATGTATATGTATATATGCATGATATACACACATGTGTGTATACATATATAAACATGCATGTCTATATATATGGGTTTATATATACATATATATCTCCAAGTGAAGATCCACTCTCCTATACAGCAAACTATCCTTTATAACAAAGATCTTAAAAGGAGAAAAGAAAAAGTTTAACAAAGCTAACAAAGATGTCAACTATGTCTTGATAGTGTATGTACTATTTATACATCCACAGTCTTCCACCTTTGCAGGAGAGGAAGGGAGATGCATTTTTTGAACTCTTTACCAATGCCAAGCTTGGCCATTAAATAAGACATCCATTTTTAAATTTCTATTTGTTGTTGTTATAATTGTTCTTTCTGAATTTATTGTGCAGATGATCAGAATGTCATTTCAGGAGTCAGAGAGTACTAGGGACTGAGGGAATCAGTAAAACTTCCTGATGGAGGCAGAACCCAAGCTGTGGTGTGAAAGGAGCTAGAGATTAAAGAGGTAGACATTTCTGTTCTAGTGCACACAGGCCTGGCACTGGAATGTGCATGCCTGTTGTCTTGAGGCCTACCCTAGCTAAAAACTGAGAAGCACAATTTTCAGCCATAGCTAGGGGTGGGTTCAAGTCAGCTCTAATTGACTTGAGAGCTAATTGTTAAAACTTTAGTGTGAGCATTTACACCTCAGGAATCAGCAATTGCTACAAATCAAGACTTGGTTCATTGCTTTGTTGATTGTCTAGACTTAAGGAAATGTTAATGATGAAGATTAAACTTAAAAGTTTTGTCCATACTTTTTCCCCTCCTGGAGAGCCTAAGTATTTGAACATTTGCCAGCATACCCCTGTTTTGCTCTATAAATCTTGTTTGAGCTCAGAGAGAGCTTAATGAAGTTATCGCCAGACTGGAGGTCTGGTAACTGTAGGGTAATAAATAATGAGGAAGAAGAGGAGGAGGAGGAGGAAGATGAAGAAGAGGAGGAGAAAGGAGAAAGGAGGAAAAAGAGGAGAAAGAAGAGGAAAAAGAGGAGGAAGAAGAGGAGGAGGAAGGAGGAAGAAGAGGAAGAGGAGGAGGATGATGAAGAGGAGGAGAAAGAAGAGGGGGAAGAAAAAAAGGAGGAAAGGGAGGGGAAGGGGGAGTGGGAGGATGGCAGCAGGCATTATATAGTGTTTTAAGATTTGCAAAGTACAGATCTGGACTTCATCATGCCCCAGAAACCTCTTCGTCCTGCAGGACAGCTTCATCCCTAGACCTCACACCTCCTCATTACCCTTTGTTCTGGGGGCTCCTACCTCCCTTGGATTGGAGGACAGAGAACTCTCTTCCCGGAGTCTTTATTTAAGTAGAGAGCTCAGATCAGCCAAGCCTTCATTTCCCACCCATTGCTTTTCTGTTTCCTTTTGTATATCTTTTCTCCCATTATACTGTGAGTGCCCTACGGGTACTCATTTTGCCTTTTTTTTTTTTTTGTATCTTCAGAACTTAACACAGTGCCTGGTGCATAGTAGATGCTTAATGTTTCTTGATTGACTGCTTTTACATCCATTATCTCAATGCCCCTAACTACAGCCATTCCTGAAGACTATCTTGTTGTTTAGTCATTTCCGTCGTGTCCAACTCTTCATGATTCCATTGGGGATTTTCTTGGCAAAATTCTGGAGTGGTTTGCCATTTCCTTCTCCAGATCATTTTACAGATGAGGAAACTGAGGCAAACAGGGTTAAGTGATTTGTCCAGGATTCCACTGTCAACAGAGGCAGAAAGGGGTCTGGATCTGTCTTAATAGAACACAGTAGGACGCTAAGGAAATCACAGCTCTTTGAAGTATTGCATTGAAGGCATGTGAGATTCATCTCCTTTATGATAAGACCCTTAAGGGCAAGTTCTTCCTCTTATTTTCCTTCATATCTGCCCAGTGCCTTGCTCATGCTTTAGTGTTTCTTGACTAGAATCAAATGGAATATTACTTCATTGTCCTAATAGGGAAAAAAAATTGAAGAGCAGCCAGAGAAAACATTTTATTTTCTTGTGTCCCACTGGGGAATCTTCTGAGTCACCTCAAACATCGAAGTTGATGTGTCTGTATGTCTTCCTCAGGTACTGTGTCTAATAAGCCGAAGAGTGGAATATCCTGGCCAGTGGTCGTGGCAGGTTTGCTTTTTATATGCGTCTTTCTATTTGGTCTTGGAATAAGAAAGTGGTGTCAGTACTGGAAGGAAATGTGAGTACTCTATCAATGGGGAAGAAATTTGCTCAACAGGAGAAGGGTGGTGGTACTTTTCACTTTCTATTTTCAAGATTCTTTTAAGTTTACACTCAGTGGAATATTTTGGCGATGTTATTCTTGTTGTTCAATTGTTTCAGTCATGTTCAACTCTTCCTGACCCTATTTTGGGGTTTTCTTGGCAAAGATACTAGAGCAGTTGCTATTTCATTCTCCAGCTCATTTTACAGGTGAGGAAACTGAGGCAAACAGGGTTAAATGATTTGCCCAGGGTCACACAGCTAGAAAGTGTCTGAGCCCAGAAGTGAACCAGGAAGATGAATTTTCCTGATTTCAGGCCTGTCACTCTATCTACTGTGCCACCAAGCTCCCCATTTTAGTAATAGAAGAAAAAAAACCCAAACCCTGAAACATAGAGAGGCAATATAAATTGCACAGAGTCACAAAGCTAGGAATAAAGGAATCTGGAATTCAGAGTTGGAAGCAACTGTAGGTATCATTAAGTCCAGCCCGTCTCCCCATGCCCAACTTTCTTTTACAGTTGAGATAATAGAAGCCCAGAAAGATAAATGAATTGCCCAATGTCAAATTAGAAGAGTTTGAACCTAGTTCCCCTGTCTTTAGACCCAGTTCTTTCTCCTATATGCCACAATTAATAATTACTAGCCCTAGTACAAAGAATCTCCTTCACAACATCATTAACAGTGGAAACAGAAAGTCCTGCTATCACAGATTTGGATATGATGAACCTGCAACTCAGAGACTTAGCCCGGACGACACAATCATTAAGGGTCAGATCTGGGATCTGAACCAAAGTGTGCTAATTCTAAGACCGGCATGTGTTCGACTGCCCCACACAGTCTCCTAAGACTGCTCTTCATTTACTTGGTTAAGTCTTAGCCGTCATTCATTCAGGCTGAACAAATCAGTGTGCGTGAAATGAGAAATGAACCTCACCTCTGTCCAAAACCTAAACTGGGTTTTCTTTTAAATCTTCATTATTTTTCATTTTCATGCATCTCTGAACAGTCTAGGCCCAGCTGGGCCTGGATGTCGAAGTGTGAAATTAGGGGAGAAAGTAATTTCAAGAAAAATTTCCAGCATTTTTTCAATAAAATAAGCTTTTAGGGGATATTTTTTAAAAGATGTGGGGGGTGGGGGAGATGGAGAAAGGGTGAAGGATTTATATGTCCTCTTCTACTCTTGAAGAGATACTTCATGGCATATTGGCTAGAGCACAGAACTTGAAGGTAAGGCTTGGGTTCAAATCCTGCCTCAGACACACCTACTAGTTGGGCAGCCCTTGGCAAGCCACTAAAACTGTTTCCTCATCCACAAAATTGTGATCATAAGAATACTTACCCTCCTGAATCACATAACATTTAGAGAGTGCCCTGCAAAACTTCAAGCAATATCAACATATAAACTTTTATCCTTATGTAACAGGGGGGAAAACACTTTCCAAAGCCCCTCCAGCCTTCTTTGCCAGTGATTAGAGATCCAGACTGAAGAACACTACCTTTGGATTCAGAGCACTGGGGTTCAATATCCAGCCTCTGACCCTTATTTCCTGTGTGACCTTGAGCATGTCATTTAATCTCTATGGGACTCAGTTTTTTCATCAGTAAAATGAGAGGATTGGGCTTTCAGGGGTGGGGAACCTGTGGCCTCGATTTCTATTTACCTTCTAGCTGTCCAGTGCTATATGTATGGAGGCAGAACTAACACCAGGTAGTTAGGGCTCTTTCCTGGGTACTCACATGGGGGAAGGGGAGGTGTATTTCTTTCATGGAGTGCCCATTCCCTCACCTGGTCCCCAGGCCCTCACTCCTACAGGGTCTCATAGTCATTATTTCCCTCACCTGAAGCTCCTTGTGATAAATAACATCAGTTTGAGATCAAGAGGGGCACAAAGATTAGCAGTGAAGGCAAATGAAGCTGACAGCCACCATCCCTATAATAAATTTAGCCCTCATCCTACTCAGTTCCTACCCTCCCCCTGTGCTCCCTGGGAACTATCCTCTTTAGTTAACAAAATCCTCTTCATCTTTGCCTTTTTTTGTTCATATTCCTTCCACCTTCCTCATTAAAATCTAGCTTTCTCCTGAAGAAATCTTGTTCTTGGCACCCTCTCCTAGACTAACCGTTCCTTCTCCAACACCCCCTTACACACAAGACCAGAAGTTGACATACTCCTTGCTCTCCACTCCCAATCCTTTCTTATTCAGCCCTTTCTTCTACTAACATCATTCAGCAGCCACTTCTCCCTTAAATTCTGGACTCTTGTAGCTATCATCTATGGCATTCTAGGACACTGTCTCCTCTCCAGTAAGTTCAGTACCTGGCTCACAGTCTTCTCCCCCATCCCAAAAAGACATTCCAGTTTTTCAAACTGTTCAAATCTCACAACCTCTATTTCTAGCCTGGCAGTATACCTCAACCACACATGGAAACAGTCATACCTTGATCAGTGGTGTCAAACTCAAATACAAAAGGGGCCACTAAACAGTACATAAAGATCTTTATAGGTACATATTGACTTAGAAAACCATATATTAATATTACTTATGTTCTATTGTATTTTTATTTATTTTGTTAAATATTTCCCAATTATTTTTTAATTTAATTGTGGCAGTGTTCTGGGCTGCATGTAGGCTCAGGCTATGTGTTTGACACCTATGCTTTAGACCACTGGTTCTTTACCTATATTCTCTCAGTGGACAGATGCCAGGGGATCTGTGAAATCATCTGAGGAAGTAATTACATCATTATTTCTGCTCACCTCTAAATGAAATTTAACATTTCCTTAAATTGTTTAAAAACTTTATTTTGAGAAGGGGTCCACAACTTTCACCAGACTGCCAAAGGGATCCATGAAAGAAATCAAGTTAAGAACTTTTACCTTAGAGGCTTTCCCACACCCCCAGCTCAACTGACTTTTCTCCAGGTACCAGAATTCCTAGTTATTTTTATCGGTGTGCATGGCAGCTGTCACCATTACCATCATCAGTAATAGCAGCTCATTGATAATAGTACCCCCTAAAATAAATTCTACTTTTCTGAATAAAAAGCTCATATTACTTTGAAAAATAACCCACAGTTAGCTCAAATTAGTAAATGCATATGAAAGTTCTTCCATATCACCTGTTGCTGTGAGAGGAGATGATGGTCCACATTCATATAACATTCTTTTTCTCATAAGATCGCAAAGGATTTTTTTACACAGTTGTAAAGCAAGCATAATCCCAAAACCTAGGTTCTATGCCAACTCTTGCTGTCTAATAACTGAATGACCTTGAAGGAATCATTGGAACTTTCTGAACCTCAGTTCCCTAATTTATAAAATAGAGACGATAATCATTGCCTGTCTCACAGTGTTGTGAGGATCAAGTGAAAGTGTATTTGTGAAAGTGGTTTTTCAGAACTACAAAGCCTCAGTGAAAAGCGTTATTGAGTGTCTTGTACAGAATACAGTGGCAACTATCCCTGTGTAACCGAAGTCCCACTCTGATGCCACATAATGTTGAGGGAGTGGTCATAGAAGGTTAGAGGATCATAGAAGCCCAGAAGTTTAGAGTCTGATGACTCATAGGTCCTCTAGTCCAAGCCATGCTAGAACAGCAATGATCTCTACAGAATCCCTGATAATTGGTCTTCTTGAAAACTGCCAGGGTCAGCTAGGTGGCACAGTAGATATAGCACCAGTCCTGGATTCAGGAGGACCTGAGTTTAAAACTGACCTCAGACACATAACACTTACTAGCTGTGCGACCCTGGGCAAGTCACTTAACCCCATTGCCTAACCAAAAAAAAAAAAGAAAAGAAAACTGCCAGAGGGAACATTTGTCTAGTGGCAGGCCAATGTACCACTGGACAGAACTGTTTGTTAGATGTTTTTAAGTAGTTTGAGAGAAAATCTACCTGTGTAAATTCCACCCATCGCTTCCGTTCCTGTCTCTAGGATCAAGTAAACCAATAGTAATTCTTCAAACAAATTACTGTGGCTCAAACACTTGGATACAATTGTCTAAGTCTTTCCTTTTGCATGCTAAAAATATCTTATTTCCTCAATGCATCTTTATATGCCATGACATTCAATCCTCCAATAACCCTGGTGACCCTCCTCTGGACAATGGTGTGGTTTGTCAATAGCCTTTCTGAAATGTGGTGTTCAGAACAAAGCATGATGTTGCAGAGATTTGGTCCAACCAAAGCAAATGATAGTTTGACAACTGCAGCCCTCATGCTGGACTTAGGCTTGTATTACCAAAACTTAAGAAAGATCACATCAGGAACAGCTAAGTGGTGCAGTGGATAGAGTACCAGCCCTGGAGTCAGGAGGACCTGAGTTCAAATCTGGCCTCAGACACTTAACACTTACTAGTGTATGACCTGGGCAAGTCACTTACCCCCAATTACCTCACTAAAAAAGGAAAAAAAAAAAGAAAGAAAGCTCACATTGAATTTTCTGACTTCCATGTCACATTCTTGAGTCATTTAAAACTTGCACTCCATTAAAAGTCCCAGATTTTCCCCCCTATATTAATGGATCGTGCTTTTCCTATCCTGTGTTGTCTAGTTTATTTTACTCTAATCTAAGAATTACAGCGCTCCTCAAATTCTACATAATTTTTCATAGTTCACTTATATATTATTCAGAAATCATATCTGCAAGTTCCATCAGTATCCTGGAATGTAGTACATCTGGGAGTAGTGATCTGAGGTATAGATGCTTAATTGGACCCCTATTTTATTGAACCTCTATTTTATTCTAATCAGTATAAATCACTTTGATATGATTCCATAGGGGTAGGAATTATAAGTTCTGATAGGGGGCCTCAGAATTGTAAATTGCAGATTGTAAGTTCACTTGCTTAATCATAGGAAGCTAATTAGACGACCTCTGCCCTTGGTTTTCCTTGTTATGATGACCAAGACCAGCATGGCAGAGGTGACTCAATTACATGAAAAGCCCCCCCAGCTATTTTTGTTTCCCCTCTGTCCTTCATCATCCCTCTATTGCTGAAAATGGGGAGATGATTGTGAGCACTTGGCCAATGGGTGACCCTGGTTGCTGGCCTATGGCCTGCCTTTCCACCAATCCATTAGCTCATGTGGATATTTTGATATCTGTTTATCAACTCAACTCATGGGTGAGCTCATCAGTTTGGTAGGACCCCCTGAAAAGTCAAGATAGGTCTGTTGAGGTCTGCTCACTAGGCTATTTGTCAATCAATGGGATTTTCTGTAGATCCCATGAGCAAGGTCTATCAATCAATGAGATTTTGTATTTTTGGTCTACTCTACCTATATTGTCCAGGTATCAAGTATTATAAAACTAAGGCCCTGGAGGAAGGGGACATCTCAGATTGTGAGGAAGATTTGAGGTCCACTTCAGGGGTTAGGAGACTTTTCACCCCAAAACATTAAGTAAATATGAGTTATTGCTATATTATTCTTCTCATCTTAGATTCAATATGGTTTAATGGAGTTATTGTTTCCATTCATTCACTTATTTTTGGATTTATACTCCCTATTAACCATTTTTGTCCAATTACTTCCAATTTAAAGACCATCCTCTTTGGTAGTGAGCCAATAGGCAAAATGACAATCAAATAATTCTGCCTTCTCTTCAACATCTGTTATCATCATCATTCCTTGAGTAGTTAGTCTTAACTATTCTATCATCTTTCTCTTATCCTTACCTTGGTATTTGTTGCCAACTTCAGCTCATCCAAAGCTTTAACTTCCTTGACATTAATTTTATCATACTATAATACTAATAATAGGTTGTCCTGTGACACTCACAGTGGGGTCTCTCTCTTAGTCATTGCCAGCAAGATTCTTACCAGAGTCCTTCTTAATAGGCTGATCCTTCACCTGGAAGATGGTCATCTACCTGAGAGCCAGTGTGGCTTCAGAAAGGGCCAAGGAGCAGTTGATACGGTGTTTGTTGCCTGATAACTCTAGGAGAAATGCCAGGAGCAGAACAGAGATCTGTACACAACATTTGCTGATCTGACAAAGGCCTTTGATACTGTCAGTCATGAGGGCTTGTGGAAGATGATGGCAGAATTTGGTTGCTTGGAGAAATTCATCAGTATTGTTATGCCAGCTTCATGATGGCATGCTTGCATGGGTTCTGGATAATGGATAATGCTCTCATGCTTTCCCATCACCAGTGGAGTGAAGCAGGGCTGTGTGTTTGCTCCCTTGATTTTTAGTATGATGTTTTCAATGGTGTTTTCTGACACCTTCAAAAAGGATGAAACAACATCAAAGTCAGCTATTACATTGATGGTACATTATTTAACTTAAAAAGGCTACCAGCCAAGAATAAAGTAGAGAGAGAGTTGCTGCATGATTTTTTTGTTCACATATAATTGGTCACTCAATACAGCTCCAATTCTGAGATGCAATAGAGTAGGGCTTGATTCTCTGCCGTGTGTGCTAATATTGGCGTCACAGTTAACACCAAGAATATAGAGGTTCTCCACCAGCCAGCACTGCACCCTCAGTTACAGCAAATGGATAAATTTTGAATGCCATGGATAAATTCACTTCCCTTGGCAGTATACTTTCCAGGGGTGTGCATATAGATGATGAGTTTGACACATGTTCTGCATTTGCCAAATATGGTGTTCATAGTCATCTGTTCTCTGGATTCAGTATTGGTCGTTAGAATTATCCTGAATTTAGTTGCTAGTTCCTGTGTATGTATGTGTTTTAAAATTTTGCATGTTTATAATTTTTGTGTATATTATTCTCCTGTGCTTATTTTATTCTACACCAGTTCATACAAATCCATGTTTCTCTACATTCCTCATGTTTATAATCTCTTGGCACAATAACTTTCTTTCATATTTGTGTGCTACAATTAACTCTCTCCAATAAATGGGTACCCAACTTTGTTACCAGTCTTTTGCTATCACTAAAAAAAAAATGCTTCTCCAAATAACTTGGTATATATGGGACCTTTCTTTTTGTCTTTGATTTCTTTGCCTCTCCATTTAAAAAAAATGTGCTTTAACCTTCTCATCCACCCATCCTGCAGTCAAGATTTAAACAATGATACTTTTTTCTTTCCTGTAGCATGGAGAGACCACCACCGTTCAAGCCTCCACCACCACCAATCAAGTACACGTGCATCGGAGAATCAGTTGGAGGTGATCTACCCTGTCATGAGATGGAAACTCTCTAATCTTTTCTCTTAGGACTTTACTGAATAGCAGTACCTGGCCTCTATCCTGTTGAGAAGATAAGAGAGTTGGTGTTTTACATTACTCTGGCCCATCTGTCAAACTTACACCACTGCAAAAATTGATGTCAGATGTGAATCACCTCTTTATACATTTGCTAACTGTGCCATCTGCATGTGCCTCAGATTGAAACAGGATGCTTGAAAATGTCTTTAGGATCACCGGTACTCATTCCAAACATTATGATCTTCAGAGATTTTATTGGCTTAATAAGACATATAATTTAAAGGATATATCCTTTCAACTTCCTAGTGCAGCTGAAAAATGTTGACATTTTTCATTTTAACTGTGATTAATATGACAGCAATGGCTATAAGCATATGGCAAACCCAGATCGACCCTCCCATTTTTTCTGCCAGAATTCTGAGCTATTTACTCACACAATAATCATCTTTGAAGTTTTGCTGGTTTGCTACAAAAAATGAAAAGGAAAAAAAAAAGTAGAAGCAAAAATACTTAGCAACAAGGCAGAATAATTAAGAGGCAAGGATGGTTTCAGCAACAGCATTCCAAGTGGTTCTTTTCACCCCTACAATTGACATAGGATTCTCAAGGGGCAAAAATCATGAAACATCTTTTTTGTTCCTTTCCTTCTTGCTGCACTGTTTTCTTTCTTTCCTTCCTTCCTTCCTCTTTCTTTATCTTTCTTTCTTTCTTTCTTTCTTTCTTTCTTTCTTTCTTTCTTTCTTTCTTTCTTTCTTTCTTTCTTTCTT